ACTGAAATTTCTGAAATTTATATTTTATAGCACAGTTCTTTTTATAGCAAATGTATTTGCTTCATGGCAGTTATTTTAATATTCTAATGATATAAATTTATTTTAAATTCTTGATAGTGAAAAATAACTTGATCAGATTTAATAACCTAAGTAGTTTTAGTGTTGGAATTCACAGAGCGCTTTCCCTAATTTAAGGAGGCAGGGTAGAAGAGGGATTTATTCCTAATGAAAACACTACATAAAAGTAAAATCCAAGAGAAAAATTCCACACTGGGCATAATTGTCCTGACAGTTCCTTTTTGGCCCTAAGTTTAAAAATATATTCCCCAAGGGACATGGATGAAGCTGGAAACCATCATCCTCAGAAAACTTAATACAGGAATAGAAAACCAAACACTGCATATTCTCACTCATAAGTGGGAGTAAAACACTTCTTAAAAAAAAAAAGATGATAGATAGGCTATCTCTGTAATTTGACAAATTAATATAATTCTCCCTATAAAATATGTCTTGATTTAATCACCCTGTTAATATAACTTTGTTTCCCTTGAAAATTTAAAATATCTGACAGTGTCCCTGAGAGTTTGCTGTGGTGCCCTGGAACATCTAAGTGCTGTTTGGGAATCTCAGTTATTACTCTCTTGGGTAAAGTATAAATAAATTGAATGAATGTGTATTATTAGGTAATTCTCACTTATTTGGGGGATAATATTCAAAATTAAGTAATCATCTTTTTAGAAATTCATGGCCTTTGTGAAAAATTAGATTAAATTAGACAAGTAGCCCATTTAGTTGTAGCAAAATGATTCTGAAAGTGTTATTCATATGAAATAAAATTACAGATAGTTTAAAATTGTCCTTATATGATGTTGTGTAATATTTTTAATGAGAACTTTAGTATAAATGTAATTATTATTTGATTAATATCGTTATGAGGATTCTTAAGAAATAAAATATAATACTTCACTTATATTTCTCTATAATTACATGTGTCATGGTTATCGGGAGATGAATGGGTTGAATTCTGACTTTTACTCTAACTGGTCTAAGGCTAAACTGAGCATAGGTAACCATTTCCCTTGCCAGGGATTAGTTTAGGAGTGACTTATGACCCTGTGGCTAATTAAATGTAATGGGAAAGTCAGGGATCAGACTTCTGGGAAAGGTTTCCTCACTGATAAAAAGACTGACAGAAAGGGAAGCTTCTTTCACTGAACACTGCTGTATCTTCATGGGATGTGCTGAACTCTGGAAGCTCATTTTGTGATCATGAGTAGAGATAGCTGAGGAAAAAACCAACAAATTTAGTCCAGCAGGGCAGGAGGGAAGACTTCTGTGTCCATGAGGTAGATGTTGAATTAAACAGTCTCTGAACAAGTCAACCATGTCACTTCTTGCTATGAGAGTATAACTTTTCCTTATATACATTAAGCACCCTTAACTGATAACAGTTACTCTTACTCCTTAATTATTGGTGCTATTCAAACTGAAGTTAAAGACTCAGGACCCTTGTGGGTTTCATGTAGGCCTTCAAATTTGTGTTTTGAAAAACACTCCCAAGTGATTCTAAAACCCCTTCATCTTCTTTCTAATCCTTTCCACCTCCATTGAGAACATCTGGAGCAAGATAGTTATGAAATTGAATGAAAGGACTTGGTGAGTGATTAATTATATGTGGGGGTCAGGGAAAAGGAGGGGTCATGGTAACTACCGTGTTTCTGATTTGGGTAACTATGTAGATGGTGCTGCCAGTTCAGGTGATAAGGACCATAACTAAAAGAACAACTTCAGTTTTGTACATTCTTCATTAGAAGTGTCTGGGAACATTTAGAAAGTGATACCAGAAAGTAGTTAGAGCCATAATCCTGGAGAAATATCTAAACTACAAGACTAAGAGATTTAGTAGGTATAGTTGAAACTATGGGTGTAGATGAGATTGCTTACAGGTATATCTTATTGAGTAGGGAAGAGAAGAAACTATGAATTTCAGAGAACACTAGTATTTCGGTGTACAGTGGAGGACAAAGTAGTTGAGAAGGAGGAAAAACAATTAGTGATATCAACAGTGACACATCTCATTTTATCTTAGATTTTTCTCAGATAAGTTCAAAGACCTTTGTTCTAAGAACAAATTCTAAGAACTTTGATCAAGATGTAAACTTTAGTGTTTTTTCTTTTTAAGTAAATTCTTAAATGCTTGTTTTCCTTTTCAGTTGATCAATTTATGGTGCTAAATGGTAACCTGATGGGATAAATAATTAATATGCCACTCTAACCCTAGCAATTGGCTGTCTTCTCTCTTATAAGATCAATTTTATTGTAATGCTTATTACTAGAGATATACTGGTATGGAGCCCCAAACCCCCCAAAATATAAATTTTCATCAGTCCTTGTTTCCAGTCATTAATATGATAATGGAAGTGCTGTTTTAGGACATACACAGAAATATGTATTATTACCTCTTTCATTTTGCTGTTCATAATTTTGTTTTCTATTCCATCCATTCTTTTTGTTATTCCTATTTTTATCATTTGACATATGTTAGCCAATATACTCTTGGCATAAAAATAAAACATTTTGGAGAGTTAGTAGGATTCTGAAACCCAAATAATTTTTCTTGGCTAAGGAATATTCTTTAAATGCAAAAGTCTGTAGAAAAGGAAAAATTGATAACTTCTGGAGAGTATTGTCTTAAACTTTTCACATAATCTGTGGATGCTAACCTAGAATTTTGTGTGTGCATGTGTGTGTGTTTGTATATGTGTCATATTAAAAACACTGTGTAGTGAAAATACCAGCTTTAATACACTCTTTTGTAATAAATGTGGGAGTATAATTTTCAATTAATATTGCTGCTAAGAGAATTCCTAAAAGCTATTTGCATGCGTTTTATGCCTCCCTCCAAGTCTCTCTCTCTTTTTTTACACTTCAGTTTCAATAGCACCTGTAATTAAGGAAGAAAACCAAGGCCTGGGAGCTAGGTAGGACTTCCAACTATTGATCTGTGTAAACCCAGTTTATGCTGTCAGGGGAGAAACAGTCAACTGCTGAGCTGCTTTGTCACTGACATAAGCTGAGAGAGGATTTTTTTTTTTTTTTGTCTATACTGTTTATACACTAGTCTATAGACCTGCTGGCTGGTTGAATTTTAAAGAGTGCGGAGGTTTAAAGACTTGTCCCCTGAGGGATGCTTCTGCCAGTTGGGAAGCGAGCTGAGGCTGTTTCGCAGAAGTGTGTGCATGTGTGTTGCTTGTGGAGGAAGGGAGGGGGAGGGTGTGAAAGATTGAGCAACTAACTGGGAAGCATTCTTCTTAATTTGAGTCTTAAAATTGATGTGAAATATATTACTAATTTGTGTATTTAGAGGCAGGTATTGAATTTTGAATATTTGTTCTTTATTGTTACAGAAATTATGTGGACAATTTTATAGGAGGAGGTCCGAATAGTGTTCACATGTATAGTAAAAATAGTGAATAGTTTCACTTTATGAAGTACAAGATAAGGATTAAGCAATGGTCAAATGAAAATGAACTAGTCTCATTTGCAATGAACTGTTTTTCAGTTTACAGAATTTAACTTACTGCAAGTTTAGTGACCTTTTAAACTACATTTAACAAAATATTGTCAGTGGTGAAACAGTTAGCTTTTGCTTAATGTGGAATCTGTGCTCATACTTTTAAAAGCACGTGATTATAAGCAATCCAGGGTACCCTGCCCTAGGAATAGATGATTTTTTTTTTACAAGATGCTTTTCTTTCTGCTTATGTGCATTAAGGTACTTGAAGCTCTCTTAGGTATTGGTGTTGAAATTTTATAACGTTTTGTTTTTAGTTGACACTTTATTGTAGTCTACCTTTTTAAAAGAATACAAGAAATTCCACTTTAAAACACTCAATGCTATATTTGTGTATAGGAGTTAAATATTCAGATACTGATGACTTCTGTAGACCTTAGTTTTAGTGGCAAAGAAGTGGTAGCGAAAGTATTGTTCAGTGAGGATGAATGCTGCATTAAGATATTTACTCTTTTTTCTTTTCAATAGGAAACACCCTTATAAAACTCTTTGTCTTGTAAAATTGCCTGACTTCGAAGTTGTATGATGTTGTCTTCAAGTTTAAAGTTTAACTTTTGAATCAGACTTAATTTTAAGTTATTTTTCAAATAAAATAGATTTTTAAGACTTTGTTTGCCAAGTAACTGATAATTATTTGTATTTTATTGTAGTTGTTAATGTGTATGGTTTCTAAAAGATTTTTAAATTATTTTTAATGACTTAAATAACTGAAGGTTTCAAAATCATTCAGATTATTTTCTGTGTTTTATTAAAGCATTGATTTTCATATTAGGCAATTCTTAAATGAAAGTGCACAGAATAGAAGCTATGTTTTTGAAAGCTTGTTTTTAGATACACATTTCTTTAAGAGTGTTAAGATAAAACAATACCAAGAATTGAATCATGTAAATGTTTCTTTGGCTATAGAAAGTCTCTCTCTCTCTCTCTTTTTTTTTAACTGTTTGACTATGGGACATGTAGAGTTGTTATACCTCTCAGTAATTCATTCTGCTGCCAACTTCATTCCCTTTTCTCTGCCTGCATTTTAATTGAAACAACATTTATATTTTTGAGCCAGGATCTGTCAGAAGTCCCTATGGCTAGACTGTGGTACAAGTAGCAGCAGACGTAGCTTACCCATATGGTGCGGTGCTTCTTGTAAAATCCATATGGCCTTGTTGAAGGGAATCCCAGCGGGGATGTGAAGGGTGTTAATACCCTTCAGGCCAGGCCTTTCCCCCCTGGGGTTTCTGTGGCATTGTCAGTGCAATCTGCCAAAGCACAAACTTAATTCCTTTTTAATAATCAATTATTTTAGTCTAGGAACCTGTGCTATTTTTCTTAAGGACAAAGAAAGCAACTTTTTTCCTAGAAAATGTCTCAAGTTTTAACTGCATCTTAAAAAATATTCTAAAACATTTCTCTTTTTTGAAATTTCCATTTGTAGGAAATACTACAGAGTGTGCCAAAGTTCTGTTTTCCCTTTGACGTTGAAAGGTACAGTATAAGTATCATTTAAAATAAATGTAGCTTATTTTAGTACATACTTAAAAATGATTACATATGCTTTTTTATAAAATAAAATGTCCCGTCTCTTTACTGCTTCTCACAAAAAGGCTAGAGATTGAAAAGAGGTTGAAAATTAATATTTGGAAGACGAAGCCTTTTAAATCCCATCTTTTATTTTCTCTACTATGACCAGTTAAGACAAGTCTGAAAACACTTTTGCCAATAGGTTCTATTTTTTCCCTTTATTCTCTCTTCTTCAGGTAGAAATTGTGAGCACTAGTGGAAAAAAATATTAATATGACCTTGATCAGAGTCTTAGAATTATGTCTTGATATATATGTTTCCTGGTTCCTATCTCACTTCATCCTCATTGAAAGGACCATCTGTGTCATGCTGTAAAACTCATGGCTACTTGTCTCTCAATAATAGCTTTATAGAAGTAGTGTAATATTATGGAAAGCTATAGGGAAACTTATAGTTTTGCAAATCTTATTTTTATATTTAACTGAACAAATATTGAATGATGAAATTGCATACAGTTGAAATTTCATGGAACATACAGCCCTGTGAGCATAACAACAGATCATTTATTGTTTTTCATGTGATTTTTTAAATATTCTTATTATCAGTTTTCTTAAGAGGGTGATATGAAGGGTTTTTGAAAGAATATTTATTTTAAGAAAATACTTTGCTATAGTAAATATTAGTGAGACTTCATGATTTTACTGTATTAAAGATAAAGCCTTCTGAATGATGGACTAATCAGTACTAATAAGCACTGTTGATGAATGATACTCCTTGTTTTACCTTATCTGAGTAATCATTGCCCTACCCCCAACAAAAAAAGTTACAAGTTTCATATTAATAGTAAGGAAGATTTAGGATCCAGCTACGAAAAGCATATTATGAACCTTGGACACTAGAGGTCACATTTGTGACTAGAGGGTTTTTTGTTTTTTGTTTATTTTTTTTGAGTTTATTAAAGTGTAAGAAAAACCTGTCTCCTTAAAAGTGTATTTGTTAAATGTTCAGCATTTGAAATGCAACATTTCCTGACAAAACTGTTTGTAGCATTGATACTGGCAGTAATTTATTTCCTTCTGTACAATCGCTGTGGCTATTTCAAAACCAAAGTGTAGGTGTCATGGATATTTTATTTTGGGACAAGGAAGCGCAAGTTCAGTTATGGTTATCTAATGGCAAGATTACAGCCAGTACTAGGAAATATATTCATATATTTTAAGTAGAAATGAAGATTCAATGTAACGTTTTATATTGCCCCTTATACCAAAGTGTGACACATATTATGGTAGTATGATACTTCAAAGTTGACTAAAATTCTTTACAGCTTAGCTAGTAAGCCTTTTTTATTTGGTAGAAATTATATTCTTATTTTATACTTGGAAATTTATTTCTCAGTGTATTGATAGCTATACAAGAGAATTCTAGGAAAAAATATACCAAGGATATTTTTGTAGGATACTTTATTGGGTGAGAATGTCAACAGGAGAAGCAATTAAATAGAGTTGGTGGTGGCTACCATTAGATTCTAAAGCGACATGATTTGCTATCTAAGCAATTTTAGAATAATTAGGAAAAGTGACTAGAGTTGAAGAAAAGGACTTAGTCATCACTTCTAGCTTCTTCTACAGTTTCAGTAATAATATTTTGATAATTTATGAAATATGAGCACTTTTAGTCTCATGAACATTTATGGTAGACTACCTTATGATTTCCTAGTGAGAGATTAATATATGCAGAACTGTTCAGTCTGAGGTATTACAACTTATTTTGGTGTTTATATGTTTCACACTTGCTTTAGTTTCAGAACATAGTTCTGGCTTCAAGAACCAGCTGATTAGAAAGATGAAACCAATGTCACATATGAATATACTCTTGCTTTTTTCTTGAAGAAAATTGTCAAACAAGATACAATATTTCATAATGTTACTATATTTTAGGGTGTCTCAGAATCAAGTTGGACAGCACTTTACCTTTGTACTGACAGACATTGAAAGTAAACAGAGATTTGGATTCTGCAGACTCACGTCAGGAGGCACAATTTGTTTATGCATCCTTAGGTGAGTATTTGTAGTAAAAAAAAAAATTGGATGCAAAATAGGTAACTGTATCTCTCTTTTGTACTTTGTTGTGCTTGGGATGAAGAAAAACTTGTTTTCTTTGAAAGCAAGTTGAAAAATAATTTTTCCTGACTTTCTGTATACAGAATTGGTTAAGTTTAAAGATTTACCATTATCATAGTGTAACTTTCCTTGAAAGAATCGATTTTTTAAAGATTAATTTTTTGTAGAATTATTTTTGAAAACTAAATATAAAGAGATGGATTCAAATAATATAGGAGTTTCACCTATTAAATGAAATACAAAAAGATAAGTTAAGTTAATGTATGCCCTTTTCTGTCGCTGAACCTGAACTTGGATTTTTAAAAGTGAACTGCGGCTTTAAGACAGAGGTTGCAAACTGATGAACCTGGTAGAAGCGTTTAGAGGTTTTCATTTGGCTACTGGGTGTTTTAAAAATTTTAAAGGACGTTAACCTTATGAATTTTAGGAAGTTTTGTATATCGTTCATATTTCACATTCCTTTTGAAAAGTGAGGATATCTACTAATTCTGCCATGGCAACAATAAACTGGAACTGAATAGCAGATTTTTAATTGTGTCATGGGCTTGCTAGTTTCCACAGGTCCTATCTGTCCTGTCTAATTGCCTACATTATCAACCTTCATTCAGTAGGTAGTTGAGAGTATGTGTCCTGCCTGTGGACTTGGGATCTGAGTTGCTGACTGTTAGGAAGAAAGGGATCTAAAGGTCAGCATCCTTGCAATATGTCCTGATGAATCAGAAATCCAGATGTAGTCTATAAAAATAGGACATTATACTATTATTATAATATGGATATTGGTTAAGCTAGAGTTCTTAGAAATGCTCATAGGAAAAGAAATAACAATTTATGAAATAACATATTACTAAGAAAACTTTGTTATAAAATCAGTCTTTCTGTTCATTTGCTATTAATATTTAGCTACATTTATATCATTCATTGAGTGTTTGTTAATTTACTTAGAACATTGGTTAGAGCTGGAGAGTTTTTTTCAAGCTTTATTCAAAAGTAAGTGCTTAACTGCTTTATATGTAATAGAATTGTGAATGTGCCCCCGTTCTCTCTTTAGCACAACTTTTTCATCTGGATAACAATTGTGCTTAAAACTTACGCTTTATCCAAAAGAATGTCATGCTTAAAACTGTAGGTTAATTTTTTGAACTTGGAGCAGGTTGGCTGGGGAGTGGGGGTGGAGATGACAGTATGGGCAATGGTGGGGAGAGTTCCTTTCATCATTGTTTCACGCTGAAAGTTCAAAAGCTACAGTTTAAACAGGAGTATATCTTTATGCATTGTGCCCAAGATGGATTTGCCCTGATGGAAAGACCAAAGCTGTATATGCTTTCTTATTTTTCTCAATGAATTTTTGAAACTTTTCATTAAAAAATTCAGATTTACAGAAAAGTTTTCATGGCACAATGAACTTTTATATTAACATTACCTAGATTCATCAGTTGTTAGCATGCATTTCTCTTCCTCTCTCCTCCTCTCACCTACTCTCCCTTTCTCTCTCAATACACACACACACATACACACAGACACACACACACACTTCACCTCACCTTTATTGTTTTTGTCTACCCATTTGAGAGTAAACATCATTTTCAGGTAAGATTTGAGTCTGTATTTTATAGCTTACCTCACTGCCTCTAAACTGACTTCCTGATATTTATAATTTAAAAATCTGAGCCTTTTGTTTTGAACTCTTAAAATACTTTGAATACATTGAATTTATTAATCATTTACAAATAATTATTGAATATTTAGAACAGTTTCTGTAAATGTGCTTGTGGAATAAATATTCTTAGGAATTTCTGTTTAAATTGAGGAAAGCAATCATTATTTGAAAATATTTATATAAAACATGAACTATATTTGTTAATCGACAGAAAGAATAGCATAAGGTCCATATTGGCAACCCAATTGTCATTAATTTGTAGGAAACAAACTCTAAAGCAAGTACAATAATCAAATTATTTTTATCTGTGGTTCTAAACTTGTATATGTAAAAGAACCCTGAATGTTGTGGTATATTCTTTAAAGTAGGAAGAGTTTTTAACCTGCAGAAAATATGATTATATTATATAAACATAATGAAAACCAAAAGTAAAGTCATGTATACCAATAAACAGAACATTTCACAGTAAGTGTTATTGAATATTTTATCTTTTATTTAAAATCATTTTTCCTGTTATATTTATTTTTGTCATTTGACAGTGCTTTTGGTAGATAAGAAATAGGAGGTATCAAAACTTTATGAAAAAATCATAGAGGAAAGTCTTAAATTTAGAAAATTCTATTATCCAGCTTGTTTTTCCTAGTAAATTAGAAAAAATATTGACATTTTAAGATTTTAATGGCATATCTTAATATTTTTTCCTGAAAGACAGTATGTGAAGGGATTCTTTGAGAACAGCTGATTTAGAGAATAACCAGTAAGTTAGATAACTATTTAATTTTAATAGTGAGTGGAAGATTCAAATATAATGGAATTCAGCATCTTATTCAGGAAATTGGAAAATTATAGATAGTTAAATGTCTATTTGTAAGCTATAATCAGTGTATCCCCTGGAAAGGAATTTTGATAGATTTCTATAAGTGCTACAGTAAGAGGAGTTATGGTGCTTTTGGTCCAAGTTTATCCACCTGGTTTGATGGTCCGTCACCACTTTTAGCTTTATAATTGTTGAAAGGATGGATAAAACTCTAAATGTCAACTAGAAGGAAAAAATTACTGTGGCAGCGAGAGTCTACATGGAATCCCTAAAAGATTTGTGTATTTGAGCACATAATGATGAAAATGCTTGTATGGTGACAAGCATACTAAAATTTAAAATGCAAATAATAAACTGGTGGAAATATATTTACAACCACTATAAGAAAAAGTTAATAGCCAAAATACATAATAAGCACCTACAACTTAATAAGAAAAATAATCTGATAGAAAAATAAGTAAAGCATCTGATAACTTACAGAGGAAATGTAAATAATATATGCAGCTATGAATGGTGCTCAGCATTGCTGAGGGTAAAAGAAATGAGCCCATTAAGGTTAGCAGAATTGAAAAAATTTTTAAATAAGCAGGAGGGAGAACACACTTCATATGCTGTTTATAGGACTATAAAATGGTATAAGCTTTTGAAGGAAAATTTAATAGTATCTATTAGAATTATAAAATCTCATATTTCTTCAGTCAGTAACTTCAGTTCTAGGAATTTAAATCCAGGATTATTTCTAAGAGTGAGGAGAAAAGTGTGAACAAAGGTATTTATTATAGCATGGTTTATAGTAGGAAAAAATGCCAATTAGCTATATTTTGTCATTCCACAATGTATATGTACTTGAAAACAACGTTTTCAAACAATGAGAGTAACATTCTGGTGGGAGAGAAGGGAAGGGGTTGTGGGACAGAGAGGAGGTTATACTTGAAAAGAATATTTTCAAGTATACACAATAAGTACATAGAATTTTACCTGTCACTTTAAAGAAATAATAAAAAATAAATGTAAAAGTGTTGACAACATGAATGCCCCTCAGTAGGAATTGATTAGGTATATTATGGTACATTTGTAACCTCCTCTCTGTCCCACAACCCCTTCCCTTCTCTCCCACCAGAATGTTACCCTCATGAGGGCAGGGATTTTTGTCTTTTGTTTACTCATATATTCCCAGTGTCTACAATAGTGCCTGGCACATAATTCTTAAAAGACTTAATAGATAATTATTGAAAAAATAAATGAATAGTGCAACATTATTTTACTATTAAGAAAAACATACACACATATATACCCTCACTTAGAGAAATATTTATGATCTGTTGCAACATGGTGAAAAATGTCAAAATAATATTTGTGGTATGTTCTTATATTTGTAGAGAACAAGTTATATGTGTATATAAATGTATATGTATTTTAAAAATAGCTAACACATAAATATTTATATATTAATATATGATTGTATGTACTTATAAAAATATCTAAAGGGATATATCCTGAACTTTTTTTACTTTATTCACTTCAGTATTTATCTACTTTTTACAATAAGCAAAAATCATTTCAATTTTTTCCTGCTCTAAAACTTTGAGATGTTGTTATATAGATAATAAACTGTAAATATGGAACTATAGATATTATATGAAAAATTAGTAGGAATTTAGCTAGATCATTTTTTGCCAGGTAAAATATGTGTGTGTTTGTAGGATAGGAAATTATCTTACTAGTATGTTTTAGTATAGGCACTCCATACCAGTCAGGTGATCGTGGTGATATAGCAGAATTAAGAATGGATATGGGGGCTTGGCGCAGGGGCCCACACCTATAATCCCAGTGCTTTGGGAGGCCGAGGCGGGCAGATTATGAGGTCAAGAAACCCTGCCTGTACTAACAATACAAAAATTAGCTGCGTCTGGTGGTGCATGCCTGTCATCCCAGCTACTTGGGAGGCTGAGGCAAGAGAATCACTTGAACCCAGAAGGCGGACATTGCAGTGGGCTGAGATCGTGCCACTGTATTCCAGCCTGGCGACAGAGACTCTGTCTCAAAGATAAATAAATAAATAAATAAATGAAATAAAAAGAATGGGAATGGCACAGTTTCATTCAGTGTTCTTGAAAATTGGGATTTAAACAGAAAATAATATTGCTAATGGGATGGCTTTATAATCTTTGAGCCAGATATTGATGTTTCTCTGTAATTTCAACACAGAATGTTCAACCAGATGGGAATGATTTGTAAGATGGTTGGAGAAATTCTATTACACCTAAAATTATTTTCTTTTTTCTCCTCCTCCAACAGTGGTTACTTAATTTTACTGTACCCTTAAGACGTGGTTGAAAAAAGTTTGTCTTTTTTTTCTTTTCTTTTTTTTTGAGATGAAGTCTCGCTCTATCACCAGACTGGAGTGCAGCGGCGCGATCTCGGCTCACTGTAGCCTCTGCCTCTTGGATTCAAGCGATTCTC